GACGATCGGGCAAAGAGCGAAACGATCAAAATATGGCGGAACTGTATCGAGCCGAGAGGAACTGGGGTAAATAGGCTTCGTGTAGGAGAACAGTTTCCTTCCTTAACAACAGGCGGCAACCAAGGGTTCGAACGTCACTACCGGCTTCACGTTACATGGTATGAGTCATTATGAGCTTCGCATTACATGGTATAGCCATGACAACCATCTTATTTCGAGATAGAATTACATGACATGATGATATCACATTACTTATTTCGACCTATTTCGACCGATTTCGACCTGTTTCATGTCTTTTCGACACATGATGAGTCGTAATATGTCGTAATATGAGTCGTAATTTTGTCGTAATATGTCGAAAAGTAATTTTGCTACAGATGGCGCGTCATACAGATGGCGCGTCATACGTCATAGCCTTTTGATTATTTCCGTTCAATTGGTTTGTGTGACAGCATCATGATCAGTTTGCAAATTTGAAAATGCAGTGTCACCCAAGTCCAATACCAGAAAATAGTCTAAAGGCGGAAATCATTTCACAGAACGTTTGAATCAAACATTACCGTTTTATTTCCAACCTTCACAAACTAAAACGTGCACAAGTCTTGACGTACAACTCTACGAGAACATCAGAGAGAATTCAAAGAGCTTCCGCTTTCAACATCGAATCCATGATGGACGTTTACGTGGACTACAGCTGCGAAGACAACAACGAAACTGGCAGAGCCAAGCTTACTGTCTGTGCCTTCGATACAACAAGCATCAGAGATGTAAAGTACGCTATTCAGGCCGCCGTTCAAGCACCAGTTTGTGATCAACAACTGTTTTATCAGGGACAACCGGTAACAGACGATGACATGACCCTCAGCAGATTGTATTTCAGGGTGGGTGACTGTTTTAAAGTGCAATTTCTTGCTGCAGTGGACATTACACGAATGAGTGAGCTAGTGATTGTGTTAAAGGACTTCGCTCGAGAAATTGTCGAAAAGCTCAACAGACAGCTTCCTGTCATAAACACAGAAGAGGAGCCCGACAGCCTGAGGAGACATCATGACTTCCTTTCTGTCCGGCATAAAGCTGCATGTCTTGCAATAGAGGAGCTTCAGGATTCCTTTCTCTACCCATGGAAATGTTTAAGAACCGTTGCTCAAAGACACTTTTTCGTTCAAGAGAGAGGATTTGAGGCTTTTTTGGAGGTGTTCAAATTTTCACGCCAAATGTACCAGAACTTCAACGTGTAAGTATAAAAGCGTTATTTTATATAATTTTTGCAAATGGTGCTGCAATTTTAATTTGTTGTCCTGGCCCGGGCTGTTCGAAAGGTGGATAAAGCTATCCATCGGATGAATCACCATCCAGGGAATAGCGTGGTTTGTTTTGTAAACACTTATCCCCTGGATAGAGATTTATCGGGTGGATAGCGTTATCCACCTTTCGAACAACTGAGACCTGTTATTTTTAAGGTCATTGAAAATGTCCTATATATTTTCAGAATGACTTAATGAATTTAGCCACTTCAGTATCACCCTTAACTACCAAATTTTATACCGTTTTTCCGACTCTCGGGAATGACCACATTTGAGCTGTTACTTCTCCATAGTGTTCAATCTTCGTACTCCGTTTTTTCTTCATTAACCTCACTGTTGTGAATGCTCTGAGATTTGTTCGTCTATCATAAATAACTCCTCTCGTTAGAACATCTTAAGATATGCCTCTTTGATATCTAGCGACCGGTGGACGGAACACTCTAAAGCAAAACCTGAACATTACGCTGAAATTTGTGCTTCAGGAATTCTTAACTTGAGAAGTTTATGACTTGTTATTTCTAAAAGAGCTATGCATTTAGCGAACACAGACCTCCTCTGGATGCGTTAGAACGTCAGTGATTTCCGCTGCCATAGTAGTGGCTGTTCCAGTCATTGCCGAACTTTGACCTCAAATTTTCTTTTTCCAGACTCCCACATTCTTGTTTGGTCTCTGAGAATTTGTCAGTGCTTGTCTATTGCCTGTTAAAAATGTTAAATAATATTCCCGTTTTTCCGAAGACCTGTCTGTCTTGGAGGGTAAAAAGTAGACACGGACACGAAAGAAATTTCTTTCATACAGTTTCCCAGTCTGCCGTCTTACTTGCCATGAAAGCACAACGTAGCGAGGTCCCCTATTACGATCACTCGCCGACTCGTTCATGGTGTACTTCGCTCTTTTGTGGGACTTCTGTAAGTTGGGCTGCTCGAAGTACAATACAAGTCTAGCTTGAAGGGCAGAAACGTAATCTTTGACGGCTGCTGTACTGTTCAGTAAAGCATGAAAAATTTTGAAAGAGAATCAACAACTAAAAAGGAAACACCATTACATCTTCGAATCGCTGAAAAATGAAATCATGATAGAGAAAATAATAAATGCAATTGATTTCGAAGTGTTCTAAGTGCTTCTCCGATTCAATAATATAAACTACTCTGTAGAACAAAGTATAATATGTACTGTCATACCTACCTATACCTATATCTCTCAATACCATAAGGTACATAAGGCTTTGACATTCTCTTTCTACCCACTTCGGTTTGCTGCTAGAGCTCTGTCGGTCGCCCATGACTGCCACCCAATTGCGCGCCTTTCTTCTTCAATCATCCTCCTCCATGTTGATTTGGGTCGACCTGGTCATCTCCTCTCCTCTGACCTCCACTCCGATGCTGTAACGCAGTGCTCTTCTTTGTCTTCCCTCATAATATGTCTAATACAGCTCCACCTTCGACGTCTCATCTCATCACATGCTCTGTTCACTCCTGTGATCTGGATTTGTTGATGGGAAATGGTTTGGGCCACCTTATTCTTCCTTTGTCGTTTCTGACATTCTACTCGCATAACTTTTGACTTCTTTGCATTGATCTTAAGATAGATTCTCGCAGATTCGTCGACAAGCCTGCTGGTCTTACCCCTTATGTCGACGTATTTGGATGACAAAAAAGCAATGTCGTCTGCAATGTCTAGGTCTTCTAATACTGAGGCCAACTTCCATCGTATGTTAGTTCTCCTGCCCTTGCTCTCTAACGTCCTGCTCATGACCCACTCTATTGCAAGTAGAAATAGAAATTTGGAAAGGTCACATCATTGCTTTACTCCTGACTTAACTTGGAACCATTCCATTGTTTCACCTTCCTCCAAGACTGCGCCTTCCACGTTGTTGACACTGCCTTTACCAACGCGGCGATAAGCTCTTCTGGGATACCGTACATTGACATGATGTCCCCGATTATGGCTGCTGGTTCCATAAACTTCCTCTATAAACAGAATCGAAAGCTTAAGGCATAAGGCATAAAGAGGGGAAACGAGCTCAAATACCATGTAGAACAGCATTTGACGATTCTTTATACGCCACTTAGATAATCTTTACGGCTCTTTTTTAACCAACAGAAAGGAAAATTCAGTGGAAACAACCAGGACTCCAGATCAATACAAACACCTCATTAATCAGTGGCAACTCTATCTTCAGTCGTGCTGTCTCTCCTTTATCTGGGGCTTTGGTGAAACACCTCAGAATCGGAAATTTCTTTTGCCAAAGGGTGTATTTCCCCTGGCAGTTGATGCCCTCCTGCTGAAGCCACCCCTCCTTGAAGACTCTGACATACATAGCAGGATTGTCGATATAAATGAAGCAGCCCTAGGACCCATTGGAGAGTGAGTAAACCCAGAAAATGATGTCTGCGTGTGCTTATTAAGTCATAAAGATGTACAAAAAATTCCACTTCTTAAGTTTTTCGATCAAATTTTTAGTTCTGCATTGGTTGTTAACATTTGGTTGCGCATGTATGGACCAATTTGTTCGACGTTGGTCATCATGCGATATAGAGCGTTTTCAGATGACCTCGCAGCATCCTCAGTCTTTGAGAAGCAGGGATGAAGGGTTGGTTGAGTTTGTGGTTGGCTCTCGCGTTGCATCAAAAGTTTTTCTCCAAATTCCAACTCGATCAGGATAGAGGACCCTCATGAAAACCAGCTAAAGCTGAGGTGGCTTCCTATCTAAATATTCAATAAATTTTTATCATTTCTTTTAGCCATTTTGGAGTCCAAAAAATTGAGTGGCTACCATGTTGCTGTCCCAGACCAATCCTTTGGGAGTTCAACTTTTTTGTTAAGTTAATACTTGGCTGCTGGCCACGTGAGTCAAAACGCTCTACAAACAGTTACCTAACAGGTGACCATGCAACATCTCATCCACTCGTTTATTTAGTACACTGACCAAGAATCAACTCCTACACAAGCTTGTTGAAACTTGAGTCACATCTGCTTGCCTGATACTCGATAGACACTTAAACACAATGCCGATGTTACCTGTCACCATTGTCCACTTTAAGCCTTTCCATTCTTTGATTCTTTCTTCTGTTTCTTTTATTTGTAGATTGGTGGAGTACGATCCCAACCTCCAGGAGGAGGTTTCCAAAATGTCTCCACTGATTGACAAGTTACTCTTTATGATAGACAGGTGTCAATCGGAGCCTGCAGGATATTCATTGTATTCAAGCCAGGTGGCTTCTGACATTTTGTTTTATTGCACATGCAATATCAAATCTGCCCAGCCATTGGTTGATTGTGGAGCACTGGAAAAAATTCTTAATATCACCCAGAAGCTTCTGATTGATAAGGACAGAGATGCACCTCTTAGGTGGGAGATCTACTGCAGATTGGTTTGAGACCAACTAAATGTATAACTTTTGCCTTTTAATAAATTGTGGTGGGAAGGCATAGCACACAGTATCTAGTACTAGTATCACTGGCTGGCAGACAGTATTGCGTTTTGTAAATAACCTGTGGTGTCAATGTCTTTTTATCAGGTACTACTGTTGTCTGTTCCTGGCTAGACTGCGTTCAGCTTCCCTGGTCAGGCTGGACAGAGACACGTGTGCTGCTGTTGAAGAACTTATTGATGTGTTCCTAGAACAGCATGTTCCCAACGAGATTTCAAAATGGGAGGAAGACACGTCGCACGTTCGGATAACAATGACGCCTCTGGTTCATCTCGCCTTTGCTGCAGGAAAGAAATACTACTGTAGCCAAATTAAAGTCTTAGAGTGTGATACGCCACAAAGTGAATACGCATATGTTCTCAAGAGCAAACAATCAAATGCTGCCAAAACTGAGTTCAATAAAGCTGAAGCTGAAACTTCACGTTCTCAAAACAGAGGAGGAAAAAGGAAAGTAGTTTTTCTTGAAAACAAACAATCAGAAGCTTTCGTAACTGATTTGGATGACGCTGACAAGGATGATGTGAAGGAATTTCAGAGTAGTTTATACCCTTTATCACATTCTGACAACAGGGTAGAAAATCATGAAACAGTTTGCAAACGTAGGAAGATTGAAGGACATACCCTGTTCGCAACATCTGATAATCCGGAAATTGTAACTTCAGTGTCTGAGGACAGAAACTGTTTGACAAGAAACAGGAAAAACCAATTCACATGGCCAGGCTCTCCATCAACACAAAAACTTGGAATCTTTTCTCTGATGCACATGTTTTCATTCAAAGAGAACCAGCAGTTAGCGCTCGTAGAGAATCTCCTTCCATACTTGGTGTGTCTATCGTGGCATCTAAAGCGTGATGAGAGGGAAAAATTAAGAACAAGTCTGGCAAATTTTCACGATGGTTTCTCGCCTCCATCTTTGAAAGTCATTGCCAAATCCATGCTTGCTCTTGTTAATGGTTTAGACATGGTTTACAAACTATAAACAGCCCAACAGACAGTGGAAACGATAATCACAGTATAACTGATCCATGGCATAGGTCACACTGAAAACGATACACAACATATCGTTGATTTACGCTTTAGGACTTTTTCTTCTGTACTTTAGAAAATAGCCCAACAAAAATACGCGTGCTGATTGGTTTGAAATCGGGTTTCTATGAAACACTTAGATCATGAGCTCGAGATTTCTATCGCTCGTTCAAAACGTTATCTTAATCCTCTTCACAGACACCGCGAAAACGCAAAGAAGCGGCGGTCATTTTGATAATATGCGCACACTGCTACGCTACGCACTATCTACCACAGAATAGATATGAGCAGCGTGGCCAATCAGAGAGCAGCATTCGTGGTAGAACGCTAGTAGATTTATACTAAAACTCGATAGAAACACGATACCTGTTTTCTAATTCTTAATTGAACGCTCTTCGTCTACTACGCGGCTTGCAAACACAGGTTGGATAGTTGTCTGTGCTTCAAGGTTGAAGTAAGTTGACTGTTGACCATATTTGTTTACTCCTAATCCTTGATGGAAGACAAAAGCACTCGAACAACGGCTCTAGTTTCGGAGTCGGTACCGTTTGATGATCGGAATTAGTCACCAGAAATTCTCCCTCGTACGACGAAAGTTTTCCTGTTTCTTTCTCCTGAGAAGCATCCGCCAATCCATTCGGTGTCAAAAAACTCATTTGACACGTTTGACAGTGACGTCAGTGCTTTGTCATCTCTAACACTACTAAAGCACACATATCTCTGTTAAATACTCGTTTCATATTCCATAATAAAAATATTCAAATAGCAACACATAGCTACACAGGGGAAAGTACTTCCCGCTCCCGGAACCAATCAGATCGTAGGGTTTGTTGAATTCTACCCGCTCAAGCACTGAGAAAAAATTAAAATAGATAGACGTCTTCTTGTTATACCTACTTTCTGTCTAGTGTTAAGAAAATCCTTTTTGGGACGAAAATAGTGAAAAACCGTTCCCGTTTTGACACCAAAACAGCTCAAACTCATTCTGTTTGAGTCCTCGACAACTAGAGCCGCATATGCCAAACTAGCCTCCTCCCCTCCCCCCCACCACTCCGCACAACCCTACACCTTAGCACGACTTCATCTATTATCTATCATTTTGTAATTGTCGTAAAGTATTTCCACAATGATAACGTAGCTAGAGGGATTTATAGCGGGGTTAAGTTGGGAAAGAAATTCCCAATTCACTCCTCTTGTCGCACGAAACCTGTCCATTTCAAATATCTTGAGTTGGCTAAAGAACCTTTTGATTATTTCCGCTTAATTGGTTTGTGTGACAGCAGCGTGACGCATTCATGTCCAATACACCCAACTAGAGTCGATTCGTCTGAGGCACTTGACGATTCGACTCGATTCGCACGGAGTAGATCCGCATCACCGGAAGTTAACACCCGTGAAATAATGGTACATAAACGTTTCTCGTTCTTAAAACGTGACTACAAACTTGAGTCGATTCGTGTGAGGTACTTAACCATTCGACTCGATTCGCACGGAGTCGATCCGC